GATTATATCAATCACCTTTATTAATTTAAGTGATAAATTTAATGGGTATGTGTGAATTGCATGAATTCTTTGTTCTCAATACAGAGATCTGTGTAACTGTAGATATGGAATCCATTATATACTACCTTTCAAGGTTCAGGCTCTTGTCACTTAATAATTAATAGTAAACTGTACATATTTTGGTTTTAATGTAGGAACTTGAACGACAGAAGGATGTTGTTGTAGTGTGTCATCAGGGTGTCATGCGATGTTTACTGGCTTACTTTCTAGACAAAGGACCAAGTAAGTTGTTTTTTAACACATGATATTCCAGCTACGATAAAAAAAAAATATTTCTGGTAAACAATTTTCTTTGAAAATTAGCACCGCCAGTGGCATCAAAAATGATTTTCTTCTTTTTATACTTTCTTTTTGGTAACATAACACTCATTGCAAATAATATTCGCTGGTCTCTTGACGTATTTCCCATCATCCAGGGCATGTTGGTACTTGGCAATTAGTGGTTACTAGTGCTTGTCTGTATATACTTCTGTACCAAGTCATATCAGGAGCACTATTGCATATAGATATTCTCATAGTATTACATTGAAGACATTGCCCACTAGATCTAATCAACATATTAATGACCATATATACTCATGTATCCTTATTAAAATTTTAAATATATTTTGGGCACTATTGCATATAGATATTCTCACAGTGTTACATTGAAGACATTTCCCACTAGATCTAATCAACATATTAATAACCATATATGGTCATGTATCCTTATTAAAATTTTAAATATATTTTGGGCACTATTGCATATAGATATTGTCATAGTATTACATTGAAGACATTGCCCACTAGATCTAATCAACATATTAATAACCATATATGGTCATGTGATCTTATTAAAATGCATATATATAATTATTATATCAATATAATGCAACCATTTCTCAGACATGCTTGACTGACTTTTGTTGATGAAAGTAGATACTAAGAAAAAGCTTGATAGTATACCTAGGCAAGTCGGTTTGTTTATCAGGGGTTTTTCTAAACCGGGGAACAGGGACGCAGCGCCCCGATACTCTCGGCTGGCACCCTCTTACTGAATTCCAAATTTAACTTTCAAGTCATAAATATATTTCTTGTGCCGTGAACTTCTGTGCTGCAAATATATTTTTCTTCATGAAAACTTCCTAGCAACACCAGCTGTCAATGTGTCTGGACACCAAATACACTAAAATTACTTCAAATACACTAAAATTACTCCAAAAATATTTCAATGGCAATAGGTACACAGTTAAAACGGTGCAAAAACCTACCAATATAGCGTTTCCAGGTCGATCGTCTGTGTGTGTTCCCGCTTGTAAATTTTTTCTAGAAAAACCCCTGTTTATCAAATGTCAAACTGGTTTATGTGGTATTTTACAATTCATTACTACATGATTATTTTCCTAGGAGGTGTCACTGACTTGCTGAATACTCTATAGTTAACACAGTCACTAAAAACTGAACTAATTCATTGACAGTGACTCTTCTCTTATAGAAGTATATGTACCTATTTGAGATGTGCTTCTAATAGATGTTAGTGTGGTTTGCGCTTGTAATTTTCACATGAAAAAATCAAAAGAAGTTGTTACACTCCATGCCCAGAGCTGCTGTAAACAAACTAATATTTATTTGTCTTTCAGATGAGTTACCATACCTCAAATGTCCATTGCATACAGTACTGAAACTGACACCAGTAGCTTATGGTAAATATATTATTGCAATAAATGTTTATTTTAGATAAAATTCAACTATTCGCCATATATGAATACATTATTGTGATTGGAACAGATATGGATTTAATTATTACATGTATTAGCATAATGCACTGTCACGCACTGTTATCTCTGGGTTATGGTTTTCCAAATTAGGCCGCAAAATAGGAATAGCAATTACTGATACTTAATCAGTATCCTTTGAAAATGTGTTTTAATTTTTTTTCATGCTGAGAAAACGAAAATAACATTATAATAAATAGAAAGTTTTAATAAAGGGGGAAAGTAGCATTTATGAAAAAGAATTAAGCAAAACCAGTACAATTGACTGCTACTGTACAATTGTACATGGTGTGTACAGTTTTCTTCAGCAAATCAAATCTATGAATGTCTCCACAAAATAAGAAATGATTTTGACTAAGGCATGTTATAATTTCTGCTATAGTGTATTTAAATGGTAAAACATCTGTACTAGTCCCAGAACATGTGTATTTGTCTCCAGGCATGTTCAGTACAGTGTCTAACCTGACTATATTGACTATATCTTACAACACTAATCTTTCTGATTACCTATTTATTTGCTCATTGTTAATATTGCAGGTTGTCGAGTGGAAAGTGTTTCACTAAATATTGATGCTGTTGACACACATAGGCCTAAACCTGCGGTAAGGATACAAATGTACATTACTCACTTACAGAGAATAACAACTTTTAATGTTACTTCATTGATTCAGCCTGCTACAAAATAATGTGTTTTCATATTCTTTTCAACTGGCTTGCAATATGTGCACCAAGCTCTGTCTCATACATGTAGCTTGTTTCTGTTGTATGCGCCAAGCTGTCTAATTCATGTAACTGTCTAATTCATGTAACTGTCTAATTCATGTAGCTGTCTAATTCATGTCGCTTCTTGTTGCAGTCGTATCTATTTTCCATACTGTTCACTTACTGGCATTAAAGTGTCCTTAAAAGTTATTGTCTGGCATCAAATACAGAATAAAACATGAATATTTGTGGTTGTTTTAGCATCCATTCATATTGCACATGTACTGCTCACAAGTGTATGTACATGTAGTTTACCGTTAAAATTCTATTATAAACCGCATACCTAATAGCATAGACCCTCTAACAATAGGGTCTATGCTAATAGTAACCGCACCCCCCGATTTCGGCTTTAGTGTTAAAGAGTTCTCAACAAAAATTGAAAACATGAAAAGTAC